GCAGACGATGTTGACGAACTTTGACTTTTACGGCTCTGCTATTATATATTCTATAAAAGTATTCGAATTCCTCGAAATTCATGGAACTTCTGAAAAACACAGTTGGCGAATAGTAGTAGACGACAGTTTTTACGTTTCCGCATGACTAATCCCACTATCGTTACGATCTTCCCCAAGAGCGGAAAGCTAGAGCACGATGGCACCTATTCCCTCGCCAAGAAGAAGGGAACTCTTCCTCGTCCTCTTCCTCGTATTCGCAGTCATATCCAACTTCAGCATCTAACACTTGAGTCGACGTTTTCACTCGAGTCACCTCGACTTGAGTCTCCTTTCACACGAACTGCCTTTGCACAGAGTATCGAGATGCAATTTTCAAGTAATCCCAGTCGAACCCAACCACAAGCAGTCAATTGTTTTCGCAATTTTGTACAAATCGGCAAACTCGAAATTTTGAAATTTCTTGCATAATTTTATCACAGTCACTTTCAAGTGTCAATAGAAAAAATCATGAGAAAATTGACTTTCAGAAATCGCCCATAGAAACGTGACTCATTGTTTTTCTATAAATAGGTAATACATGAACTTTTCAATGGAATCATACATACATACAAGAAACAGTCGTATATTCATACTCGCGAAGAAGTCATTTCTACCTCCCGTTTGCAATGGCTTTATGGAGCATTATTTACTCCGGTGAAATATACGATTGACGATGCTTCAAATTGTTAGCAAAAGAGAAGACGAACGAAATAAAGACAGTTAATAAATTTCAAAAAAAAAAAAAAAAAAAACCCCCCAGAGCTCAGATCTGCCGCCACGATTGTTACGCGTTCCCGAGCTGGCGAATAGTTTCTCGTAACGATTCCAGTGGCGCGGTACAATAAATTCCAAGAGCTAGAATTAATGTGCAGAAGGATATTCCAAGCCGAGTGGTTGGTACGCAGTAGATACGTAGTGCATACTGAGCGGAACATTACCGACATTATAAATGAGAATCGTAAAGCATTATGGCACGTCTCCCCTACCCTTCCTTCCTTCCTCCGTCGTCTTTCTTATTTCTCTCGCTCGAGATAAAATTACAACGCCCACGTACGAGCCGTCTGAATTATTGCCCCGCGTTCTATTCTTTCAAGCAACAAACTTTTTTATCATTTGGAACGTATCGCGTCAAATGGATAATACACCAAGTACCCGACGTATCTCGCTCCATAGTCCGATTCGCGTAAAATCTTCGTATCTCTATGGTTACCCATACGAAAATCAAGAAATCTCATCTCGTCCATTCGCAACGAAAGTAACCGACGTTCCTGCTGAATGGATCTTTACGAGTATCATAAAACGTGAAGATCGAACGATCCATCTCGTATATTCGCCAGCTGTTATCTTGCTATCCGTATAAGCGATAACCATGTACCTCCACCTATATAGGTATACTATATACTTAACCAGTCATTATTGTCCCACGTATAGAAATCTCCATGCGTCTTCATCCCTTGTCGCAATTAAAGTCGTAACGCTGCTGATTAATAGCCTTGTTACCTGTATTCAATGTAATGCCGAACGATAAAGATAAACGTAAACATACGCGCTGCTATAAAGCTGACATAAATTTAATTTAACGACGCGTGGGGCATAATGCCGGCTCTCTGCCCTTGGCTGCTTTTCCTCCTCTCCGCCGTCACGAGTACGTCTGGACCCATTGGTACCTCAGCTACCCATGTGTACTGGAGCGACCAACGATTTACCTACCTCGTAAACTAACAATTACGTAGGATCGAACGAGTCGACCTAAAACCATATGCACGCTTTTGTTATCCGTTGAGACGCCGACTCGCTTGTATCGCGTGAGAGGAGAAGATTGAACGTCGTGAAGATTTCATTGTTTATTCCCATTTCATCTCATTCCTGGTCATCATTCGCGTCGTTATGTTTTCGGTATTGTGAACTTGCACGTTACTTACCGTGGAATGGTCGTGTATAAAGGAGGTCGGGATAAATCACGAACAGTTCTGTCCCTATGGTCTCGGCGTAATAATCGTATACTTCTTCCATCCATATACCTACGTGTATACGAACTGTGGACGTACCCTTAATAAAATGCAGGTCGTCAGAGCCGGAAGGGCGGGATGACGACTGGCGAATGCATTGGAAAGTTATGGGCCCATAAATCGGCCTTCGACGATGCACCGAGAAAAAGTCCTGGCTTCCAAGCTCCTGCGGGCTTCATCCTCCTACTCGTTTTAAGTGTGCGTGTACGTGTGTATTATGGTACCCTCGCATATGGCATATATAGATATAGTATTGAAGGGATGAAATCGAGGAGATGGCGTTCAATGGGATGACAGACGCCACGATAAATTAGATCGGTATTTCGAAGGTAGCAGCAGCCACGGGAATCCATCCTCGATTTCCGTTCAACAAATTAAATCCGGATCCTGCTCGATATATCAGGAGCTATCGGTACTAGGAAACGTATTTATCCGTGAGTGGGATCGAGGATATGTATTGTATATATGCATACACATATCGGTGTCAATGCATGGAAGGACTGACGCTTTTGCCACTTTGACGAGAACTGATTGGTTTAGTTCCGTGCGGCCCGATCGATTCGTTACTCGTTACCTTCGTTCGACCTGTGTGCACGTTGCTCGATCCGGCATGACCGTCAATATAAATCTATCGTGTCGATTACCACGGGCATCCGAACGATAATAAACTCGCCCGAGGTCTTCGCTCGCCGATACCTACTGCGAACGCAGACGCCGCTGGGTAACCGCAAAGCCGGAACTGCCTACTCGGAAAATACGATTCAGAGAAGTTTTTACGTTTACCCGGAAATAGCTGTGTGTCTGCTGCTGTATACGTTCACGGGTGATCGTTAAAGTTTTCACGCTACGTCACATTAGCTGGCTGATATTTATAGAAGAGGTTTACGATAGCCGGAGTGGCGTTGAGCTATCATTTTTTAATAGTTTTATTTATTTTTTCTTCGCTATTCGAGACGCCAAGTTTTCAAGGAGTACTTGATTCTTTTTCTTCTTAACAAGTCGTCGAATATGAGGATTGGAGATTTAGAAAAATTCATTTATCGATAAATCATTGTTTCATTGTGTTCTGGCCCTTCGAATCGAATATGGCATATCCCATAAGGCTTTATTTTATATCCTAATATACTCACCGGAAATGATGAACCCATAACAGACACAGCTAATATCGTCAGTGGGAGACAGATTGCTCTCGTAAAAGATCATCGCGTCGATTCTCTCATCCAGTAGATAATTTATCGCCCAGTCAGACGCTTCTAACGGGTAGTTCCCAGCGCGAATAGTCACGAGAATGAATAATGGTCGTACGAGAAAAACGTTTTAATTAAGGTAACCGTGTTTCGGGCTGATAGTGCTGGTATATGGTAGCGGTGATAGTAATAGCAGTCATCTATAATTTTCAGGCTGCAGGAGCAGTCAAGGCCGTATCAATAATCCCATCGTCGTATTCGGGTCAATGCTAATTTACGTGATTGATCGAAGCTGCTCGAGTGGACGGAGAGACGTAGGTTCTAGTTAGGTTGTCACTAGTGATTGCGTCGTCGGGTAATTCGTGGCGCTGATCATTTTGCACTTTCTATAATGTACAATGTATAGGCATTTTACGGCTATAAATGCGTTCTCGTCGTGCGGCAAGTTTAATAAACCTGAAGCTGACGCTTTGGCTGTGTATGGAAAGTTTCATCGGCGCTCAAGTCACGTAACGGTAGTCGCGACTAAGTACGAGCAAATCCGACAAAACCTCTTAGCTGCGCGACTAAATTATCCGACAGTCTTATCTTATTTACGGACGGTAATGGTAGCGAGTTTGTTGCCGTAAATTAACGCCGAAGGTCTTGCCTGACGGATAATGCAGAGAAGCATGGGACGTTATGGCGTCGGTCGTTTCGATCGTTGCTCGTGATTTTAAAAGTCGGGATCCATCGAACATCGATCGAAAGATTCGTGTGCGTCGCGATGCTGCTTCTTTGGTACAGAGGTATTATGTGTCCCGACTGGTACGTCGTGCGACCGTGTAAACTTTGTGCAATTCATCTCGCTCTCCCTTGCTTACGTGGAGTCTGAGCTTTTCGCGTGGAAAATCATTTGCTTGGTACATTTTACCTCTGAGTATTCTTGGTAGAACTTGAGTCCCGATCGTTTCAGTGCGGCACCCACTTCGCACTTCCTTAATCGTATCCCTCTTTGTGTAACGGAAGGATTCTACTTCGGCAAGTTCCTAGGAACTTCGAATGGGAAGGAAGTTCCATCGAATGTTCTTAACCAGTTCCGACGGAACGTCGACGTCGCTGTTTACGAATGGTCTTGAGTCTTACTTGCACGTACATACATTGTGGCAGTACTGCCTTGAATGACGTATGTGGATTATCTCTTAAAAAAATGTTATTACGTATACATATTTATGAAGTTATCTTGATTCATAATTCCACGAGACAAAGTAAATACGCGAAGCGATAAGAAAATACTTATTTGCTTTTTTTTGCATTTTCACTTTTTTACCTAATCAGTACACGGAAGAGGTTATAAATTAACGAACGTGTGTCGCAGATAAGGAGAATATGAATTGGCAGATTTTTTTTTTTTCTCTGTGTAGGTACTGATTTCCATTTTATCTATAGGTAACGCGTAAGTCAGGTTTGAAAAATTGACAGTGTCTTACGAAAGAGCAGTAAGCTGTAAGGTACATGGAAAAACAGTCGTAAAACAGCGATTTCCGATCATCCGAAAGTTCAGGGATATTTGCACGCTCCGTAAATTGCTCTCGTAGAATGGCGAACGCCGCGGCATAAAGGGAATACGATCGTAAAGGTACTAAAAGGTTATTGGAAGTTTTCTGAGAACGCGATAGAATCCAAAGTGTCTCGCCTTGCGTCGGGACGCTCGGTACTCCCTGCAATCTCGTGCACGCCACTGCTACCAAGTCGTTGATAAATCGCACGTGCGTTTCTGTTTCAGGTAGCGACGCGGCCTTGGAGCCCGGATCAGGGCAAGACAAGAGAGATGACCAAGCTGTGCAACCATAAGAGGAAACTCCTGTTGCCGACGGCGGCCGCCAGTCCTGTAGCCTCTTGTACGCCAGCAGTATCTTCGTCAACCCTCTCGATCCTGCCACCACCTCCTACGATTCAGGCGACCCCCGACTCGCCAACCTCCACCGACAAGACCAAAAAAGGTAGGTGGAAATTAATCTTACAATATAAACCACAGGGATACGCCTTTGTCTCCCAGTACCCATATACACGAGTCAGGAGCTACTGTGAAGGTATCTGGGGCATCTTGAGATACGTACAATCCGAAGGAATTCCTACGGGATAACCAGCGTGCAGACCTGGAGGCGGGTAGCGAAGTCGATCTGTCTTTCATGGAGCGTTACGAAAAACTTGAAGGATCTTTTTATTGAGGTTTTCTTCGCGTTTCCTATCTAAGACTACATCAGGCAACTCCCTCCCGCGTTACAAACGACTTGGACCTTTTCTCTTCGATGCTGCTATGTGGATGGGGGTTGAACTACATTTTTGTCTTTTTACTTGGGCGTATTACGATGGCCTTACTATAAAGCTTCTAGGTAAGACAAACTTTCCGATTGATCCGCTGGACTCGAGGAGCATGGCTGGCGGAACGTATTACCAAAGTTTTCTGTTAAGCTGGGCATCGGAGAGAGTGAGCTCGGAGAGGGATGGCGACGAGATGGAGCTAAAGGCTCCAAAAGGGGTGGTATAATCGCCCGGACATTTATTCACCATCGGCGGAACATGTGCCAACTTTTATTGGAGGAGGACCAAAAGTTTCACTCGAGATAGTGATAAAGGGGGGGAAGCGGGACGGGGATCAGGGATGGCCGGAACGGAGAAAGAGGACCGTAATCATTAGGAAAAAGTCGCTCGAAGAAAAACGATGAAATTGCGGCATTAGCGGGGGGTTGTTGCGGCGTCGACGACGCCAACGGCGCCGTCACTTCTTCCCATTCCTATCCCCTGTTTTTTCCCTATTCCGTTTCATAGTATTGAAGCAGCGAACGATAGTCACTGTATTATGTCTTAGATCTCCAAGTGTCTTTTTATCGTAGCTGTATACTTTTTCATTCTTATTACAATACAGCGTAACGATACTTTCGTTGGCTTCGGCATTTTTTTTTTTTAATCAAAATTTCTTAAATTAGGTTAGGTAACTTCAATTGTATATAATGTCACGTCTCATTTTCTTTAAACAAAAGCCGGTCTCTGGTTACTCAATAATAATAATAATTATCTGTCAAGATGACGAAATTTCATTTCCTCTGGAACATTCAATGAAACTCATTTACCGGAAAGACGAAATAACCTATCCAGACAAACTTCAGTACATATAGAGATAGAATTTCCAGTAGAAAGAATTTTCCGGTTGGAAAAGTAACAGTGTATCATCTCGTTCCTAAATCCTCGTGAGTCCCCCTCCGGCTAATAAGGGTGAACCGTTTTATCCAAAAGGATAAAACTTATCGGATCGATTAGTTTTATATCCACTTTTGCGACCACCGTAGAAACTTCAAAGCGCGTGTTCGCCGTCGTTTAGCCATTTTATTTAAGCTCCTACGAGCATTCCCCCATTCGTTTGGCCATACGGAACAAAAAGAAACGTCACCTTTCGGTGCAACGAGGCAATAAATTGGCAACAGTCTGCGCGACTAGCGTTGGGTTAGAAACAGGATCGTATAACGGTCCTTTTTTTTTCGTTCAGGATATACCGCTTGGGAAGCGTCCTGACTCTTCTCATGAAATCCCCAAGCCCCACTAGACAATTTCATTCACCGTTGAAATACCCAAAGACGCCTAAAGTCTATTCGGCTAAAGCCAATTAACGTCCAGCAGTATGCGAGCTGTTTTTATCTCGTTTCCTCCATACTATTTTTTTATCACCCCGAAAGCTCCCTTCATTTTTCAAAGATAAAGGCTTACTCGACGGCACCTGCGCTCTTAGGTGGAATAAATAAACTCGAATAAGAAAGGCAACGGTTTACGAGCTAAATGGTATGAGAGGGATATTCTGATATTGTTTACCCACAGCGCAAAATTCCCATTTGGGATTTGATGAGAGCAGGGATGCTCCCTTCCTTTTCCGTCTCAGTCCCCCCTGTATCCATTGCCCGTATATGTAATCTCGCAAATGGCAGCCGGAAAAAGCCCCTTGGCCTTGCTCCCTCCCTCACTTTAAAAGTTGCCCACGTCTTCGATTCCGCAAGCGGTGCAGTAACGTTTTATCAATATCATAGGATAGGAGAGAAGCAATACAGAGCCGCAGACGGGAATCCAAGGAGGCTGCCATAATCTTAAATTCGGCAGATAAAACGAACGAGGGTCGGAAATCTTCCACCCGTTGCGGGTGGAAACCGTCGCCCTTTTTTTTTCTTTGTAATTTGCTACTATGGCATTATGCACGAGTCTGCAGAGGATCCACGTAATTCTCCATTATGTTCACTGCACTGTGTGTATAATAATCGTCAAAATTGACGACTCGTCAATTATGTCATTGTCCAAAGCAATACCATTGTTACGAGTCAGTCATTATAAACTCCCTTGAATATCTGTGTACACGCATCGCAATGGGATTTGCCGTTACTCGAGTATCTATCGGCCAGTAGTATGATTCACTGTCGATAGCGTATACCCGCTGACGTAACTGATAAGCCTCAGCATCGGTACTCTGAATTATTATTGCTGCATCATCCTACACCATTCTCTCATTCGAAACGATCTGTCCTATCTGCGAGCTTCCAGTCTATTCGAGTGTTAATTACTGATGGTTCGTGGCCGTCCTATCGATCTTCCGTTAATTCAGTTAATTAGTCGCCCGCGATAATACTAATACGACTGTGCACTTTGTATGCTCGGTGCAATTAATGGGTATCCGTACGATAAACAAAATTAATATACGACGATAACTTTTTTTTTAATTTATATTGAACGTGTAGGGGGATGTTTTTTTTTTAAAATGCTATGCCATGTAATATATACCTCGTTGGGGTGGTTCATTGGATCTTCGGCGAAGTTCCATGATTAAGCTTAATTAGCCCGTTCGTGAAGTTACGGTGCCGTTTCCATGTCAGGTCTTATCCATCACCCGTAATTTTAACTGCTCGGTAACCAAGAAAAATAAGTGGAACAAAAGGATATTAAATTTCCGGGAGAGCGGTATTAAACTTTCATCGCATCATAACGTTATTACAGGAGAGCAGAGGGTAGTCAAGGGACCTCGACACCCTCATCCAGGCTTCTTTGCTGAAACCTTCTCCTGCTGCCATCAGATTCTCTCACCCAACCTTGAGTATCCCGAGCAACCCTCTTCGTCGTCATCCCCTCCAGCCACCCCCCTCGAGCCATTCTACGTCGCGGCGTCGCCCATCGGCGTCTGTGATAACTGCAGATTGAATTGCTCCACTGCGTGAGCATAATGGCGGTTCGGCTAACAGAGCTGCTACCAGCTCGCCATAATTTTGCGTCGCTGAATCCACCTTTATTTGAATTCACCAACGTAATTTTGTGTCGCTGAAGGGAGAACCAGCCCTAAAGGAAAGGACTTCGTGCATTTGTCACGTTAGGGGTTTAAGGAGATATGAAAAAGTGTAGGACAGTTCTTATAATTACTTTTTAGTCACACAGTGACTGTTACGTTGATTACGATGCGCTTAGGGTAATGAGTCATGCTCAATTACGTGACTATGAGAGGCCTTTGGAGTATATGGTAGATCGTTCAAGTATCAACACCGCGTTACACCCTCTGCTACCAGGGGAATGTCGTAACCAGGAATACAGGCGCACCCCTCTAGTCAAGCCGGTTCGCGGAATTACCACCATTTTCTGTAGTGCCTCCCGACGGTGTAGTTATTTCACGTTATTGCTAAACGCCGGTAATTATCTTAAACGAAGCTAATTCAATCTAGACTTCAGTGCATTTAATGACTGAGCTATATCGGTCTCCATCAAACGTCTCTGCGGGAAGGCAACGAGCGACTCCTTCGTTTTACCGATCCGGCAGATTCGATCCGGACCCTTGAGAGTTTCTCTGGCACACCGGAATCCGGAACTATAGCTCGGATCGGCTCAGGCTAAGTGAAACGATTTCGAATTAATGCGACGACATAATCCCTGCTTGGATATTTCGCTTTATTTCGCAAGCTTCGTTGAGAATAATAAAATTAAAACCTTGTATTGTGCAGTATATGTCTTATATGCTTGCGTATATATACTAATGGTGAAAAACGAGAACCAGTCCCATTTTCAGCATTGATTTCACTTTATTTGGACGTTAATATATACGTATATAGGTATACTGAATGTAAGTTGCCATTGGTGAGCTTGTTTACAGGGCTTTATATGGTCGCTTTAAACTCCGAGGCTCTGGGCCAGAGCGTCGGCGTCGCTTCAATTCCAATTTTCCGGTGATATAAAACGACAAGCGTAGGTGGCTACCAGGGGTTGCAGTCGACATGGGGGAACTGCGCACTCAATGTGTATTTCCAACGTGAGCGGAGTAAAAAGGAGCTGAGTGTTCTTTATTGTTTACGTTCGGAACTGCTGCGGAGCGGCTTTCTCGAAAATTTTGATAAAACGAATTCCCTAGGGTGCGATTTCTCCCCCCCCCCCCTTTTTTTACCTACAGTAAATGCTATCAGAGCCAATCTTGCGCGATCTGACGGCTCGTTAAATGTAATACTACCCAGACTTATCGTGTTACGCGAGCCTAACGTGCAAGTATTATCCCATGGGAAAAAAAAAACGTATCGATATTAGGATTATAAAGATCACTGGATTATTTCGTCAGGTTTATCCGACTTTTATGAAGTCTAGTTTAATACCTTGAAAACTGTTGCAACGAGCTAATCCAATTGTTTGCAATCACAGGAATTGGAACGGGTGCTTAACTATTCCGATTGCGAAGGGAGTATCGATGGAATATCTGAAGCAAAGGATTTTTCTTCTCCCAAGGACGCCCTCGACTTCGAGGCAATCGTCGAGACGGAAAATTTCATTTTTCCACGGCGGGGTCGGACGTATTCTCGCGCCTCTTACCAAGAAATTTGCGTCGATATCGGATAAGTTTGAAGGCATAAAAACGTCAAGGGTCCCTCTTATATACACCGGTTGCTACCGAATCCCTTTGTCGGCACCCATTTATCTCGGCCGATATTCTATTTTATAGTAGGGAGGGTGGCAGGATTATACGACGTATATCTCGCTGGAAACCCTTGCCCGCGCCACCGCCTCTTTTCCTTCTGCCGTCAAGCCCCTTTCTACCCTCTTCGCCGATCCCTGGAAGGAGACCAATCAGCCAGCTCGTGTCTTCTTATCGCTCGGTCGATCAATACGTCCCGGGAGGAGGAAAGAATCAGCTCTCTATTCGCCAACCGACACAACCGACACCGTGGAACAGTAGTGGTGACGTTTGAGGGTGGTAGAGGCGCTGCGCCCGACGATGGTGCTGGGGCGCGGGGTGGTGGCGGCGCTGGTAGAGACACGTTGATAAGGGTTAATTTCGTATGAGAATATAAGCACCGTTGAGCCTTATGAAGGAGAAACGTAGGAGAATGGGATAGCTTGCGGTGGTGCTTTCACGACTGTCCGATTTTGATTCCTGCGCGTGTACTCTGCGCGCTCTGTGCGCTTGCGCACTCTGATCCTCGAGCTTTCAGTCTCTACGACTACTTCATCGGCGAAAGACCTTCCTCAGCCAACTTCATGACCGTCGTTCGTCGGCCTTTCAATTTCACCATTCCAGAAGATCCAGAGGACGTTTATTCATCCTCGTCGGATGGTGCGTTTTCATATCTTCCATATGACACGCTACCCTCGACGGAAATCCTCATCCCTTTCATTGTTTATCGTATCATGGAATTGTCTTTTATCCGGTTTTATCATCAGCTGTGTTCCTTTCTCTGTACCCTTTGTAAGTGACTCGCGACTATTTTATACGTGGGTATCTAGTGAAGCGTAGTGCAGTTAATCATCAGCGTTCACGGGGATGATCCACTGTTAGACTTTAGAGATTTTTTCAAAAAAAAAAAAATTTTTTTATCCTTGTCAGATGATGTTTTCTTGTTTTATTGTATGTATCTTACTCCGCGGCATGGTATATCGTTCAATAGGTATTTGTAGCGTTGCCTTACGACCCTTTAATGGAAAGATATAAACATTTTTGATTGCAATTGAGAAATTTTAATTAAAGCTGCCTATTGTGCGTGAAAATCAACTGACTCATTTGGGCCACGGTGAGACATGATTTCTTTGAATTTTTTATTCCGATCCGTGAAGTCTTACAAATTGCTGGCAAGATTTCAGGCGATTCTTCGTTTGGCTGTAAAGCGGGTTAACGCGCGTCGTTGCCGGATAACAAGAAAGGCGAGGACGGGTCGTGGATAGAGCCAGGAAAATTCATTACTCCTCTCTGAGTTATCTACACTCCGACGTTGCCGCACGCCAGAGAATAATTATCCGCTGTAGGCTTACAGATAAAAGACCCCCGTTAAAGCCATCCCTCGGTTACCCTCTTCTCTATCCGGTCCTCGCAAATCAAGGCAATTTCGAGGTGTTGACGACTGTTATCACAGTCTTTAGAATTTTCAAGTATCATCCTAGTTCCAAGGGGATGAATGCGTTGGAGGAATATATTATCTGGGCAAAAATGGCAATTGTGATTAAACGCGTTTGGTGGCTAAAGAAACGCATGTGACAAATGAGTTATAGGGAGGGCGAAGGAGAAGGTGAACATAAAAAATATTACTAGTATATTAGCGCGACGGCTATTTTTCTTTATATAAAACTTTTTACACGAACCGATAACGACTCGTTAGATATAGGAACTTCTTACCCTTGATTCATGGTAATTGCCTCTCGCGTGATGCACTATTACATTCTTTGTGTAAAACCATAAAATGCTATTATGATTATCCCGGCAGCGATCCGCACGTACGGGACTAATCCTAAGACTGCTTGGAAACCTTCTATGCTCTATGTCGGTATTATCTTGGACGATTACGAAATCACTGAAACCCTCGGTGTGGTCAGACCCGAAGAGTTAGAAGCCGTCACGCGAAAAAGAACTTAATCTTAGCACAGGGTGGTATCTGAAATGGAATATCTAGGGGAGCTAAACAGCTTTTACGCTGTTTGAATAAGGAGTGAAGAGTGAAGCAGCCAAGTGAGGATACGATAGAAGGGGAGAGTAAAACGTTATTTCCATTTTCTCGGCTTTGAGCGTCATAAAACTTTATAATTGCAAGTTGTCGGGCTGGAATATGAAATTAATTTATGTAGGAACGGCGCTAAAGTTTCATCGGACCTAAGCGTGACAGAGCCATTCTTTCATGCGGATGTTTGCGGTTCAAAGTATTTCCGAATGGCATGCTACAAAAAGGTGCTCTCGGGCACCTTTAAGACTTCATTTTTCCGACACACAACGCGGCTTTCCTTAGAAGTCATCCTACTCGCCCCTCTAGTCGCACGCGATATCATACTCTTACATAATTTCCTGTAAATGTTCTAACCATACTTCCGTTTTCACTCGCAGACGGCCTCAATAAGAAGAAGAAGAGGAAGCTGGCAAGTGTAGGTGGTCTCTATTCTGGTGTTTCGGTTTCTCAACTTCTTGCCCAGCGAGAACGAGCCCTCGCAGCAGCTGCAGCCACTGGAGTTCAAGGTTCCCCAATATCGAACGGACCTCAGGTAAGACGAACTATTATTGCTTTTGTGTTGTTCTTGTTGTTGTTTCGAGTTGCTGGCGATTTCTAAGCGGAAAACTTTGTCTATTCCAGGTTTGGCCGATCGCCATCCCGAATTTGCAAGTCCAGCAAAACAGCCAACAGATCAATCACCAGTCTCTGAATTCTCCCTCGCAGAGTCACGAGAGTAACGGGGTCGTTGGACGAAATGCCCAGCACAGGTTGGGTCAGCATAACATGACTGGGATGGTAATGGGAAATCCGTTGATCATGAATCAGCAGGGTACAAATCTTAGCAACATGACTCAGCAGCAACAGCAGCTACTTCAGCAGCAACACCAGCAACTAATATTACAACAGCAGCAGCAACAACAACAGCAGCTAATGCAACAACACATATCCCAACAGCAGCAACACCAACAACAGCAGCAGCAGCAGCAGCTGCTACATCACCAGCAGATGCAGCATATGCAGATCTTACATCAACAGCATCAACAGCAGCAACAACAGGAGCAGCATCCAAACGTAGTGACTAATCAGATGACGCAACAACAGGCATCGCCCTATTTGAATCAACTGAATCAACAGTCCCTGCACATGATGCAACAGCAGCAACCGCATATAAATCAACAGCAGCAAATGCAACAACAACTTCACCTTCAACAGATTCAAAAGCACAATATGAATCTGCAACAGCAACAACAACAGCACGTGGGCCAAGAGTCTGAGCAACAAATATCCGCAAATTATAACTCGCAACATCCAACCGAATCATTTGTACATCACATGCCACCTATGCAAAATTCTTCGCAACCCTCTATTCATCCTCAACTGCACCAACTTCATCAACATCAGATGCAGCAGATGCAACACCAGCAACAATCGAATCAGCATATTATGCAAACCCAAAAACCCGAGCACTTTCAGATGCAAATACAACAGCAACAGCAGCAGCAACAGATTTCTCAGTCATGCGCTCAGACACAGTATCCTAATCAAGCTATAGCTCAGCACACTATGGATGTTATGCAACACTCGAATGGTGTATCTGTAATGGCTGGAATAAATCCTGCCGACGTTCCAAATAGACAGAATCGTACACCGTCCATCGGTGAAGAGGATCTGAATACCAAGCAGCTGCAACATCAACAACAGCAACAATTGCACCAGCACAATCATACAATGCAACGACATCATGTAATACAAAATGGAAATTTGCCGAATAATTCGCACGACAACATGCAGCGAATATACACTCAGCATCAAATGCAATATCCTGTGAGAAATTTCGATCCCACAAAAGCGCCGAATTTGGAAACGAAGCTCGGGCACCAACAGTACACTCCGGTGAGTCATTTAGGTCGTAGTCCGAACAGTAATCACACTGTAGATGCTCAGCCTGGAATGGGACCAAATGGGCAGCCTGGTAATATGCATTTTAATGCAAGAGCTCCGCCGTGGCAGCAGACTAGAACGATTGCGGCATCGCATCAATCTCCTCCGGTGACCATGCAGAGCATCACTTGCAATACCTTTGATCGGGTACCACCTCTGCATCATCACATTCCACCAGCCTCTGCCTGGACAGACGAAGTGGCTAGGAAAAAAGCTAAAACGAGTAAGGTCATGGTTAAGAAACAAAGGCAACACAGTATGGTGGAGATAAGAAATAATGGCCTCGATCAGTCGATATTGAGTCCTGGTGATGAATTCAATGAGAAGAATCAGTCCAGTAATCATATTGGCTCTACTGTCAGTAATACCAGTCCATCCTTCCTTGAAGATCCGAGTGGGTATCTTGCACAGCAGACTGCTCTTCTAAATAGCACGATATCAAGGCAGACGGGGGTCAGCAGTTCGCAGGTCACTATTCTAAATAGCTCGAAAGTCTCTCAGACAACACATGGCGTCCACGTGCCTAATAACGTTTATCTTCCACAACCAAAGCCTTCCTCTATCGCGAACCCAACTAATACCTCCGTTACGAATTCGGTCAAGAATCACGCAACTTCTCCTGTGGTGGTTCACAGTAGTATGACACCGACTTCGGCTAACAGCGTAACCCTTCCCGAGCACAGTCCTTGCCAGGGTTGCGTCTCCAGTGTCGATACGCAGTCCTACATCCAGGATCAGTACAAGCACCAGATGCACAGGCAGTACTCGACGCATTCCGATCAGCGTGATGATCCCGTTACCTCGTCTACCTTCGGCGAGAGGTTCCCAACGAGTCAACAAATTGACTCAAGGCCAATTCAGGGCGGTACCGTGAGCACAAGTCATGGTTCTCCAGTGGGTACGAATAGTCCAGCGAATTCAGATACACCAGCTTCCTCGACTTCCGGGATTTCGCAACCAGCAACGCCGCAGAGTATGATCTCTTCGCAGCCTTCGACGCCGCATAGTTACTCCCAACCACCTACGCCTCATTCTCATCCTACGTCAGGACAGATACCTCCTCAACCATTGACACCGCAGAGTCAACAACCCTCACAATCCTCCATGAGTGGCAATGGTTCTGAGCAACCGGCGGCAACACCGCCACCATGTCCTACGACAACACCCTCAAGCAGTTTACCCCCAAGTACTTCTCCTTCGCAGATTGTAGTTTCCTCTGCACAAATAATAGAGAATGAAAATGGAAATGGACATTCAAAGAGAAATACTAATGGTCGGCAATCTAATCTAGAAGGCTATCAGCCTCATCCACACACTATAAATGCTGTGTCCAGAGTACCATTGATATCGTACAGTAGACCGTCATCAGTCATTACAACTATGGCTAGTGGTCATACTGTCAGTAGCAACACAATCACCTCCGTATTGGCTGGAAGAACTAATACAGCGACTGTCTCTATAAACACACCATCCGTTATACCAAATCCTGCTATACCTAATATACTTACCAACAAGTCTCATCTCCAAACGCAATCAACCGTGTCTACGAGCGTACCCTGTACAACCAACACCATGCATCATGCCAGCTCATCACCCATTACTCATAGCCAATCGTCAACGATGAGCGTGTCCAAATCGCCTCTCGAAATGGTCCAAAGTGTAGTGAGTAGCATACAAGTACCACAGGCGAGTTCTAGCTCACCAGCTCATCCTCATGCGCATCATCAGCAACATCATCAGTCGAATGTTCAGGTTCATAACGTTATAACGTCTGGTGGAATATTGAAACATTCGTCAGGATCTGGATTACCACCTGGACATATTTTGGTATCTAGCGGTGGTCAGCTAATAATGGCTAGCACTGGCTCGGGGATCAGCGGGGTGATGGCACCTCCACCGCCGAAAATTATTTCAAATGCCAGTTCCATGCCACCCCTTTCTGTTTCACCTATGGTTACCAGTGTGACCGGGGCTGTTAGTCAGGTTATTCCAGCAGTTGGTGTGGCGCAGCAAGTAATCGGACAACCAACAGTTTTGGTAAACACCATTCAAACTCCTGTGCTTATTCAGCCTGGCGTTATGACCATGGATGGTATTAGCCAAAACGTTCAGATACCTCATCTCACAGTGGCGACTGGTAACGTCATACAAAATGCCCAATCGATTTTGGACGCGAACCAAGACGTGACTAGAAACGTTAATACGAATTCGAATATAGTGAACCGGCAGCCTGCGTTATTATCTCCAGAATCTGGCGTAAATAAGAAGAAGGCGTATAAAAAGCGGAAGAGCAATTCTCAAACAGTGGCGTCGATGCTCCACATTGCTTCCTCTCAACAGAACACTGGGATGCTTATGCAGTCTCAATCGAATTTCGCTCAGCAGAATTTTCAGACGCAAAGTCTTGGCGGACCAATGCTTCAAGCGCTGACGATTGTTCCTGGAAAGGGTGGAGCACCTGCTCAACTGGTTATGAATGGTCAGACCGGTGCAACGTCCACGCAGTTCAATGCTCAACAAATCATCACAAATTCTCAACCTACACAACAGATAAATCTACTGCAGCCTGTTAATTTGTTAAATGGTACCACTGGAATGGTACAGAACTTCCCCACTATTCAGCAATTCATCGTACCTGGAATAGGTAGCATGGTGATGTCAGCAGACGGTACAGCAACCCTTTTGCAAGATACGGGCAACATTGGAATGCAACTGCAGATACAGAATGTTAATGGTCAGAACGTATTGACGCCAGTTCAGAGTCACAGTGGTATATTCAGCCCAAGTCAGAGTATTTTGGCTGCTGGACCAGCAGGCATGGTCATCCGTGCACCCCAGACAACCGGTGGAAAAATAATTCAACAACACAGTCCTGGAGCTCAGTTCCTCTCGCCAAACAGTGGTCAATTTCTCGTGAATGGTACAACCTCATTTGGCAATCAGTTGAGTCCAATAGTAGCGAACGTCAGTCCCAATCAACAGGTAACCTTCAATACCAGTCAGGTACGTCCACAAAATATTCAAGGCCAACAAGAGTTCATTCAGATGAATGGCCAGACGTTGATGGTACCCTGTGCCACTACACAGAACATTGCAGTCTCCACTGCTTCAAATCAACAGAACACAACATTCGTTCAGCAGAATACAACGATTGTACAACAACAGACCACGATGGTGTCAAATAATCAGATACCAAACTTTCAATCGGCTGCTTCAAATAATGGAAATCGTGTAGATCCCACTTTGAATCTCGATCACAATCAATCCTACATCCTGAGCAGTGGTATGATCCAAGGGAAGTCACCTTCGTCTCCAAAGAGTAGTGTTAATTCCCCATCATCCGAGCAAAATGTTGAGCAACAACAGTACCTCCTAGCAAGCAGTAGTACCACCGTTGTCGAGAAGACATCTCAGCAAACTGGGCAGCATAGTCCCTTGATGGTCAGACATTCTGTGTCTACCCAGACGGCTGGCAATCAGGCAAATGTGGCTCAATCCACATTGATGAGGCAAGGTTCACCACCGGACACAACTACTCTCAGTCCTGGTAACAGTCAACGATCTAATAGTCCTGCAGTGGATACTACTACCCATGGAGCTGCCTCACCGGCACCCTCGATAACCGCCAGACATCATTCGTCCTCGACGGTAAAGTTACTGCAATTTTCTAAGATCTTGGAATCCATTTCAAAACTATCTCCTATACACATTTCTGATTTACAGCCGATGGTTCATTGCGTCTCAAGCAGCGAGCCAGACTCGGGCGAGGCTCAAGTGACGGCTGAGGATTGGCGAATCCATGGGATAACCGCCAAGGAGTTAGCACTTGGACAACCGGCTATCCGCGGAAAGACTTACGTCGAATCTACTGTCACAACTGGGATCCAGGTTGGTACCAACATAGAGCAAGGCATCCATCATCTAACTCAAACAGACATGCATCAGCCAGCCGATACGACACACCCAGAAAACACATACGCTGACTCACAGGAGCATATGGACACATCATCACCAAATCATTCCATTTATTCAGACACAATGGATCATTCGCCGACGGATAAACAGCTTAATATTAGTAAAGAAATTACGGACGTTTCTCTCACCGAGAGCGATGCAAATGCCTCGCAGATCATGGGACATAATCATTATCAGCCTGTTCTTTACCATAATCATTTTGTTCCTGGGGAGAATGTTTATCGACAGCAAACCTTGGTACCGGATCATGCGCATTATACCTCTGTGCCCCATAGTCATAGAGTAGCGATGCACTCTTGCGACGAAAATATTCCTGAGGTACTACAACATGTTGTAGAGCATCCACACGAAAGTTCCTATAGCGAACAAAAATTTGTAGAACCAGAAAACAATGATGTTGCTTATTTTTCACAAGATATTGCTAATCAAAAAGTAATGAGTGTTGGCATGTCTGCACCGGGACTTTATCCTCACTTATATAACTATAGGCACGATACCAATGGCGTTGCTGTCGTGAATTATCAGCCCAATAAACAACCATATGTTAATCCTTACGTATACAATGAATACGCATACGCGGAGCAAGTCACTGATGGCGATGATAGTGACTCATCGTCGGATGATTAGAATTGAAAAGCGTTCTCTCCGATTGAATGGAAACGAATTGTATATTGATATTAGAGGCTATGTATAACCTCGCTGTTATCGGTTACAATTGAATACGCGCCGTTAACGTTTTACGAGCGAGTAACATTAAGTTTTTGTAATTAGTTTGTATTTAAAAATTATTTTTACACTTTCGACATGGAGCCGAACATTTATCTAATACGTTTAGTATTATTATTTAACGTAAATCGCAATATGTAATTGTATCATTAATTGAGTGTTACGGAAGTCCAGAAAACCTCGTTTTTATAATGACGAAATAAATCCGTGCTAAAGATTATCTTCGTGATAATAATTACTTAACGATCGAGAAAAAAAGAACCTTCCGATTGGCATGCGTATAATTGCAGTTTGTCTTTTTGCTCCTTTTGTTTCTTTATTTTTGGTATTTATAATCAAGTTGCATGTAACTATGAATGACGAAATTTAAAAAATCTTTAACTAAAAAAAAATCTCAATTACACGTAGAATTTCTCGGAAATATTGCAACGCGCGTTCAAACAATCTCCTATCGGCATTTCTACTGTACACTCGTGTGATCTCTTTGATTTTGTATTTTTTATTTATTTCCCTTCTATCGTTTAATCTGCCACCCGTAATATCGCGCTTTGCAATTTCCGATGGAACGGTACACAATCGCGAACGCCATTCGGATGAGATACGCTCAAGCGATATTAGCATGTGGTTGGTAGGCTTGTGTGCCTGAGCTGATCGAGTTGTATTTGACAGATCTATACGTCAGAGACGTTGAAGCAAGCCGAGGGTGTGGTGAGCTCGGTGAGGTACGAGGGCAGGGATCATGCCCTCGGCCGGGGGATCAAGCGAAAGCTGGACTCCATCCATTCCATGCATTCGACCCTGCATGAAGACCAGGATGGTCAGTATCGTATTGTATTTATAGACATAATTGTTAATATCAATTCGCCTGCTTAAGGGTTACTTGCAAATTGGTAAAAAGCATTTTTCTTTCTTTAAATTACAAGACAAAAAAATATGAAAAATCTCATATAGTAACTCGATGACCAAAATGCTTTTTATTTAGATGCACTTCGATATTTTGTAATAGGAATTTGTAGTATATTTGATATTATTTAGTAGTAATTAGATTGTACATTGTTTCTGTTGTCTTATTACAATTTACCGAAGTATTGCTAGGGTGGTATAGTCAGATATGTAAGTGCACCGTACTATCTTGTGTCGTAGGTAATAGGTAAAGTCTTGTGAATAAGTAACGCTGATATCTGTAACGTTTCTCTTGCATGTTATGTACAAACTGTTGAAACAGTGCATTACGTATTCACTTGCGTTTACTTGAACGCCTTGCGAACTTATTCAAATTTTTATTATGCATGCAAGTAGCTTGTCCTTAGTTGCATGTATCATTCGCACTCACTCTTTACATAATAGCTTTGACAATGGCTTTGTTACTGTTAATTTGCGCTTTTAATGGATGCTGTATACAATTATTAAGACTCAGGTATATTATCTCGTACGGAATTAACGTTCGGCAAGTGCTCAAATCTTTATTAAACTGTTAACAATACCGAGCATATCTGTTGCTATGGAAAAAACAAGAGCAATCATTAAACTGGAAGTGAATGAAGGTCGTCGTTGACGCAATTGTATAAAAAATTAATTCGACACAGGTAAGTAACATAGTACTAAAAATTTGTTCACGTTCCATTAAGTAGTATTGCTTGTCGTCGAATAATAACAATTGTAACATATTTCTACAATGGATTCTAGATGTTTTGTTGCGTTTACTAATTGGCTGTCAGATTTGTTAATATCATGTTCCCATTTGATACACTTCATACATACGAACAGAGCATTGGAATAAATGAATATAAACGTGGCCAAGGTGCGACCGCTTTAAATCATTAGTTCATTTGAACAAAAAAAGAGGGCGTGGCTCACACATGTTACCATATTTTTGTTGTACATAAAAATCCCGTGTTTCGATCCGCATGTACATAATCCCAGAGAGCATCATCGGAACTTCCCTGATCGTGCGTGCTGAACGTTCGACGTAACGGAATGATTTACCTTGTCGAATTTTGATAAATAGTTTTCTTATTTGTAGAAAAAATTTGCAATTCTTGGATAATTGTCGCGCAACGTTTACACGCAATCAGGGAATCATCCAAGGTACAAGATACCTTCAATCGTCATATACATATAATACGCCGACATTGCCTTTACAGCAATTGCAAAAATCATATTAAGTCAGCAGCAATATCTAACAAATGACAATGCACAAAAATTCATTTGATTGCAATAGCACACAAACAAGATGGAGAGGTGACCGATAAGAGGGCTAGGGGTGGCAGTATTAAAGAAATTTCGAGGCGACACTTTGCGCATCCCTTCGTAAACAATGGAAAATATGTATTCTTGCCTAATGAGCGAAACCAAAAATAAAAGTAACGATCAAGCGAATTATACGAAATAAAATACGCAACGTGTCGCTTCCAAAGGCAATGCCCAATTACCAGGACACCCTTGAAACGTTCCTTCTTTGGGCTCCCAGTATCCGAGGATCAATCTGATGCCGGAAACTCGTGGAAACTCGAAGTCGGTGAACTAGTGTGGGGCGCAGCTCGGGGTAATCCGGCCTGGCCAGGCAAAGTCGAGTCTCTGGGTCCCCCGGGCAGCTTGACCGTCTGGGTGCGTTGGTATGGGGGCGGTCGCGGTCTCACCCAGGTCGATGCCAAGACACTCAAGTCCCTCTCCGACGGTCTCGAGGCACACCACCGTGCCCGAAAAAAGTTTAGGAAGTGAGTCGCTACCCAATTGGGGATAAATTTATGAATTGCCGCTTGTTTTACATCTCGATAACTGCTATAACAGGAAAAATTCTAATTGAAGTCTATCAGAGTTTTTACAGCGTTACGAAATTTTTTTTTTTATGAAAAACAAGAATTTTAGAGCAATTAGCTCAAAGGATAGATTATTCATGTAGGAAACGGGAAATAACTTTTTCTTGCGTTTTATGGCTGCAAAATAAATATACTAATCAAAAATTGATTGATAGTATTATTGGATACGTATAGCATTTATTAGCAAACTAACAGCCAATTATCCATTTGTGTCTATAAGGGACTTGTGCGACGTTGCGATTCTAAAATGGGAATTGTCATTCATATTTAGCTCGGGTCTTGTTCGTCTGTCTTTTTAACGTGTTTGATCGATCGACTTTTATATTAAACGCAATAATAAAAGCTGCCTTGTACCACAGCGATGTGAATCGGACCAAAGAAAAGTTTTCCTTGTGCTTTTACTCCCAAATCGAAGTCAGAACGTAGGGAAACAATGAAACCTTGACTCTGCTTCCGGTGGCTTTGCCCTAATACGAAATAGCCTTTATAAATCGGCGAATGTATCAATAGTCTCGTCGACGGCTTATTTGCATGTTAACGATAAAAGTAGAAGAATTGATGAAATTTCCTGAATCGCAGCACGTACCGTCCCTGGATTGATATACATTTCTGTAAGCAGTAAACAACTAAGCGTTCTATTCCATCTATATATATGTGCCTTTTTACTAGTTAGAAATCAAAGAAATATTAGATATCGTGAATGTAGTAGAGTCCTTTTAGTATCTGTGTCTCGCAATTAGCCTCTATGGTAATCACGATCAGCATACTTACTGCCGTGAAATTTGTGCTCCAAATGAGCGCGCCATAATACCATTAATTAATGACACTGTAATTTTTGTTATCCTATCTTCTAGAAGTCGTAAATTAAATATGCAATTGGAGAACGCTATACAAGAGGCGATGGCCGAGCTGGACAGAATGAGCGAATCTCAATCGGCCGCCAGAATCGCCACGGAGAAATGCAACGGACAGGCTGCTGCGACAGGTACGACGAGAAACTCATCGTCTAGGACTACGACGAGCATCACATCCAAATCTACTGGAAGCACCAGATCAGAAACCAAGAGACTCTCTAAGAGAAGCGAAACGGCGAAAACCGAACGTAAATCGAATCGGTGATAAAACGTAGCGTCGATCAATTTTTGACTTTATCGATCGTGTTACGTTACATGGTGCACGAAAGATGGTACACAGTACACCTATAATAACTATTTATATATATATATATATAATGATTAAATATATATATAAATACAGATATGCAAATATATATAAATATAATTATAAATATACAATAGAATTTGTATGTAACGCGTTTTGTGATAACGCAATTGAATTATTGTACATAGTTTTTTCGCCTGATGGTGTTTATAAGTGAGAGAATTCCGTTTTCTTTTTGCATAATGGAGAATAAATAAAAGAGAATACTCACGGCGACTTGATACGAACGCGAAACATAAATTATCGGTTAACGAGTGTGGAAGGTACACACGGTGATATTAGCATCCTGATAAATGGCGACCAAGTTCCATATAGACTTTTTTCACGCAGCGAGAGTCCTTCCTCTTACGATTTTTCCACCGTCGGTAGTCTTGTACATTGTTTATAACGTGCACAAATACGCGCATAATCGGGTTAAATCATACAGATCGTACAGTGCGCAGGGCGTTGAGACGATAATAGAGATTTTTGAAAAATTTCTTTATCTTTTGCCGATTTTATTTTTGCATTGTGCGTCAACAATGTCGTGTTTGCGAAAGATCCTAGACAGTGGAGATGCAAATAATTGATTGATAACCCCTTCACGCATAATCATTCGTAAAATATGTGTAAATATACGCATTACACTACATTGTACGTAGGATACGTATTACAATAGTTGTGAAATAATATTTTTGTCAAAATATCGACCGGGAGTACCTATTTCATGGGGATGAATGAAAATAAAATTTTTTTTTACAAGTTTACATACTATAATACATATATCAATTTTGTCGAAGAACCAATGTACAGCTGTATTACGATTCTGTCAGATTTATAAATTTTCTGACTTTGTTTACTACCGAATATTGTTTTCCACGAGTATGCGTATTGGGATATGAGAATTAGCACGGTTTGTTTTCGATTGTTCATTAACGCGTGTACTTATGAAAATGTACGAAAAAATTTGTGAACATTGAAACTTCGGCAATGAGTAAAATTTTGAATAATTTTAGGCCATACGTACCGAAGTACATTTTGATAATATTAAAAACAGAAAGGACCCATGGCTCGTTCTTGTAGCCAAATATTTCGTGGGAAAAGAAAAAGTATGTAAGCTTAATATAATTTCTTAAAAATTCTAATTCCACCCACGTCCTCGACAATTGTACGTGACGATTAATTGTTAAATACGAAACAATCAAGCAAACTATTCGCTTCCTTCGATATTCCATAGAACGACCACAAAATATTTCTGCAGGACGTAAGAATGAGAAGGCTGTCGTTAAATAAATTTCGAAAATTGTGAGATAGAAGTTTTTCAAAATAACCGGACCGTGACCTTACAATTTAATTTTATAATTTATTAATACAGGGCAGTCCCACTTGCCCCGTGTCTAGTAAATAATTCGTGTTATCTCCATGGAACTTTTCATTGATTAACGGGTGTTTTTAGCACCTTGGTTTATATCAACGCACGAAAGACAATAAAGGAGATACAAGTATCAAAAGAGTCACGCGATACAAGATGGAAAAATAACGATTTTCGATTCATGATACGTCATCAGCTTAGACATGATTCTTGAATCGAGCATCGTTCTGCCAATGACTGTCGCATTAGCTGCACTGGCTATACACTATAAAAGAAGTGCAAAACGGGTTCATAAAGATTTCATAAAGCGTCCACGCGGCTGGTTTAATAAATCGTGTGACGTTGTATACTTTAGCTATACCTATATGAAAAAAAAATCAAAAGCTCGCAACCAGCAAGACTTTCAACAGCGAGCCACGAGTTATTATTTTCCGTATAATTTTTCAATTACGCTGCTAAGAACAAACGTAATCGACCATGTGAATACGTATTTGTTACGTACGTACGCATGTAGGGATCTTTTTTTATACGACCGTTGGCCTCTCTGCTTCTCTCTGTATTACAAAAAAGTTCACATATCAATGGCAACGCCAACGCGTGTTTAGAGGCATTTCGAAATTCAGTAATTACATTTTCGATTTGCTAATTACAAAACGAAAAGTTCCCAACAGATTTGTACTATTAAAAAAAAAAGAACGAAACATGCAAAACGAAAACAATGACTTTCGATAGAAGCATAGAAATTAAAGAATACCTGTAAAATCTATTTTTTTCTTTAAAAACCAACATTTCTAAATAGCAGAGAATCGTAGGCAGAGGTATCGATGAGTTTCAAAATGATTTTACACGCGCTTTCATTTTTTTCTTTGCTTGATGCAAGCAAACAAAAAATAAAACAGAAGAGAACTAAATAATCAGTAAAAACATGTACCTCAGTGACAGCTACGCCAGAATCAAACGTCTTAAATTCGAGTATATACTGTAGTAACGTTACCTATGTATATTTTCCGTACTGTAAATAAAGTACATACGCAATTACCGAATAGCCACATTGTACGATTACCGTCGATGTATTATTTAGTATTTATGCCAGGTAATTCACCAGCAAAAGGGAAATGTTCGCCGGAAACAAATGTATCTATGATTGTGTGATAACGGGCACCGGACCACAGTACTCCCAAAGCATATACGAAAGTGGAAGCGTGTATTAAAAAAAAAAAGAAAGAAAAAGAAAAAAACAAAAACGTGAGAAAGCTTGAATAATGGAATTCAAAAGGGCACTAACCTAACCTAACAAAATTTTCATATTCAAATTCAAGACTTAGTACCACAAACGTATATCTGATAGGAGTCAGCCCATAGTGTGAACTAAACGAAAAAACATTTGCCTGTACAATTGTATAATTGTATTACTAATAACAAGATGACGTACTATACGTTTCCGCGATATTGCCCTAATCTCAAGGAGGTACTAATGTAAGTAGGATTATTCGAATTACGGGGTAATTTGGGTGTTTGATAACGAGAGTAAAATCATAGGTGAATTTTCAACGGCTGAAGTTGACGGGTGAAAAGTAATAAAAGAAAGTGTTGGATGTGTGCGCGTTACTTTCTCATATTTTAACTCGGTTTTTATTTCAGGCATATATTGTAAAGGGATTTCAAATAGGATGTGAGATACGTGGGGTGTCACGGATTTTGAAAGAGTCATGTCCGAGTATGTACTGGAAAGAAGAGTTTTCTTTGGAAAAATATGATGTAACAATATGACACAGGTTACTCGTAGCGTGTGCGTATTTTACAGTGATTGCTTTACTTAGTAATAATGGGAACGTGACGAATGCACTTTAGTGTAAAATATATATATGATAAAGATAACAACCCCTTATACATATGATACCAACTATCAGTGGTATAATAATAAGAGATGATAATTTTATATTTACAGATAGAACGTTAAATCTAAATGAGTGTATCATACTATTGTACTATGAAAAGTTTCCCTGACCCTGATTCCCTATAATAGGTAAATTAGCGAAGCTACCTTATTTAATATTTGGCATAATATTTATATACATACATAAAAGATAGAACGTAAAGGTAAAGAAATAGACTGGGCGCTGCGGATGTCACCAGCCCTGAGAAAAAAGTATGAAGCTATGTGATCTACTACTACTAGTAGCTTTTAGCTGTAAAGACTTATACTTTATTTTGTAAATTTTGTTTATACAATGTTTGATCGTTCACGCATAATACTATTGTATGTGAAAATAAGTTAATAAAACATTAACATATGAAGTTACACGCATGATGGTATTTTTAATGGATTCCTATACACTTCTACTTCCCATTTCTATAATCAAAAATACAGGATAGAACATATAACTCGATCTACTTTATTCATAATACCAGAGATCAGTAGGGAGATTGCCAGTGGGCAGATTTTCTTGAAATCAGAAATGAGTAGGGAGATACACAACGCTACGGTTTTAGGCGATACCAAAAACATAGCGCTAAATCGTAGCGGCGAGTCCAGGAATAGAATTTTGTGATCATCGCCTCCGTCGATAATGCATATCCCGTCGTAGCCGAGCTGAACGTGATCACGAACGTGTAGCCTGGCGGGCAGAGATTCTCCACAACTTACAACTGAATCCCAGAGCAACCCTTAGAAAGAGGCCGCTTATCAGATATTGCCTAAATCTTTTTTTTTTGTAATCTTAAATTCAAATGTACAGTGTAAGCTCGATAAGATTTACTAAGACAAAAGCCAGCACCTTACGCCTGCCTGCGTTAAGGAGTGCAGCGATGCGGTGCTAGCTTCCATCATTATTTAACAATAGTTCCAAGCGTAACTATGGTCCCAACATTGAGTACTAGAGAAAATTATTCCAGAACTGTTTGAAACACAATCTGAAAACAACACTGAAAGCCAGCTCCTTATGCATACCTGCACTGAAGCATATGGTGCGACTAGTATCCTTAATAGGTATTTTAACGATGTTACGTAGCAGAACTGTTGTTAACACTAATCGTACCATCGTCGGGTCATTTGACCCTATTAAAGCCAAAAATACGTTTAAAAAAAATTGTCGGTATGTTTAGTGTTAAAACCTATCTGGAACTATAGAACTCCTCGAGAGCTATTGAAAAAGCCTATTGTTGAATCATTTTCAAGAGATTTTAAAAAAGTGCAGTGCTGGAGCTGACACCCATGTAGCACCTCAATTTTTGGAAAATTCCTATTTTAACGATGTTACGTAGCAGAACTATTGTTAAAACCTATCAGGAACTATAGAAATTCTAGTTAAGTGCGTAGCATGTACAACGCTCAGACACCAATTTTTGAAGTTCTTCAAGAAAGTATCGTTTGTACCTCTTTCCAATCAGTCCCCTTCGAAAGAGTATAGTCTCTAGTATATCTCCACTGCGTTCCATCGTTTGTACCTTCATAGTTTTCTTTTAAATTCAATATTAGTGCGTAGCAGGTACAGGGTCTAGACACCATTTTTGTGAGTTT